AATGAAAGTACCATTCCTCAGACGAAAATTTTCAGAAATGTACAGATTGTGAAAGCCCAAAAGACAGAGTTACTCCATGGCCAAATTATCCTTAAGGATGTGCAACATTAAAAGAGCCTTCGATGACTCTGTCCCTATCCATCCATCTATCTATCTATCTATCCATCCATCAATCATCTGTCTACTTACCTACGTATCCATCCATCCCCAAATACACACACACACACACACACATATATATGTGCATATATAAAATATTTTCAGTGAATCAGCACTTTAGTTTTATTTTTAATTTTTATATAGAACACCTAGCAAAGTGATATAACCACAGTCAGTAAATAATTCAAAAAATATTTGCCCAAATAGCACCTATTATAAGTTGGACTCCAAAGTACAAAAATGCTCTCTAACATTGAAGACTTCACAGTCCTAGACTGAGATCAAAATGCTGAATTACATTACTGAAGGTATTATACGCTTATTTAACGGCTCTTTTACACAGTATCCCAATACGACGAGAGTGTTCTCTCCAACCTCTTTTTCTAGTTAACTCATATCAATGCTTCAAGTGTCACCTTCTCCAAAGCAGTCTATTTTTAATACAACATAGATGTCCTATTTACATGATTCCAGAGCACTCAATACTTGCCTTTATAGTGACACAAATGACCAAATTATTTTGCTATTGATTTGTGTTTTCTACTCTACCAGGACCTCCATGAAGTCAAAACTATGTCTTACCTACTGTTTCCCTGTCCCCAACCTGGAGGCCAACTCATATTAAAGAGAAAGTGCTATGGGAGCTAGAAGATAAAAGGTCTAATACCGAGTAGAGGCATTTGAAAAATGAGTTTCCTGCAGTGATGCAACTTTCAATGCAAGTACTACTCAGAACTATGTTCCTGCTTCCCCTAGTTGTAAAAGCTCCTCTCTGTTACTGAGATTAGTTCAGAATGAGGAAATCAATGCTTTCCTTAAATGGAAGCATATAGATTGTATGTGTAATTCCTCATGAGTAGAAGTGAAAACATTAAGGATCACGGCCCAGGAAGAAACTAAGCTTCTGAAATCAGCAAGACTCTACTGTATGTGGAAAATATCACTGGCAGCTGCATGGCAGCCCTCACTCCTTATGGATTTGGATTTGGAGAGCCAAGGGAATCAGCACAGGTAAGCTCCAACTATTCCAGTTCTGGGTCTCTAAATGCACTTCTAATACGATATTCTCTATCCCTGATTAAAGAAATTCAGAATTTACTATAACTGCCTTGTGGAGTGTGTGTATGTGTGTGTGTGTGTGCGCGCGTGTGCGTGCAGGTGTGTGTCTGGTGAGGGGGAGAGAGGAGGCACTGTTTGGTCTCTATCTGCCAATTTGGAATGATGCAGAAAGTCAGGGGAAGTTTTACAAAGGAAATAACATTTGTACAAGAGATTCTATAGAAGGCTAGAATTTTGCCCAGTGTAGGACTAGCTATAAGAGCCTTTGAGGTGAAAGAAAAATGTATAAAACCACAGTGAGTTTGGGGAAAAGAGGACAAAAAAAAATGTCTGGAGCATAAAATGAAATTGGAGCTGGTAGGTGGAAAATATTGGAAGGTAAGTTTGGAGAGGTACATTGACTCTTGACATTGAATGGCCTTGAATGCCAGTTTAAAAAGTAAATATCAGCAGGAAATGGCATAAAATCAGTTTTAATGGAGTAATTGTTTAATAAACTAATCAGTATTATCATTTAGGGGTGGATGTTGTTTTGTGGGTTCTTCACGCCCTTTTAGGTCTAGCGACTTCATCTTTGTCAGAATACGGTCATTGCAAATTTCTATGTCAAAATATTCATGAGCAACTTCACAATAAGATAAAATTATTCAAGAGTAAGTTAAAGAGGTACCTCATTCATGAGATGAGTCCAAATTCTCACTTGTTAAATCACTAGTCGTCTATTTCAAATTTCGGAAACATCATAATTTATATTAGAGTTAATCTTGTGTATGTCTGTCTCTCCTACCAGACTAAAAACTCCTTGATCATGAAAGATACGTCTAATTTCACACAACTCCCACAACAATGGTAATAATAATAACTGTAGCCAATAAGTATATGTTTACTATGAGATAGAAACTTCTCCAAATAGAATACAAGGATTCGGTCTTTCCATACTTTGAGATGATGAAAATTTGTCATAGAGAGGAACAAGTTTGTATGCCTTGTATGTATCAGAATTTTCAATTAGAAATTCAGGATCTGGTGTCTTTACTCTTAAACATATGCAATACTGCTCCTTTACTGAAACTAAGTATGGCGCTTTGTGTAATTTAATTCTACTGCTACTACTATTTTCTTTTTACCCAGAGTTTTACTTCAAAAATATACTCCATTAATTTATTAAATCAACAAATATTTATTAAGGTACTTTATTTTTGCTTAGGGTTCTGCACTAAACCAGGGTATCAGTCAGAATGTCACTTATAAGTACACTTTACTCATTTATAGCAGTTATAAATCTCCAAATTATGTCTTCATAGTTTTTAATGACTGATGTAAACCTGAAGCAGCGTTGATTATTTTAGTGCATTGATTCATCCTTTTAGACTTGTTACTGACAAGCAGCATTATGAAGAAAATGAATTTTAGTAAGAGTTGAGTGGTTGGGAAATTTTAACAAATGACTTTAGACAAATGATTTCCTTGTTTATCAGAGTAGATATATCAGAATCCAAACTAGTGAGAAATTCTTACATTACAGGAGGGAATACTTTTTGGCCCAGGAGCAAGCCTTTGATGCAACAAATGTGACATTTGAATTCATCATGTTACAACAGTTTGGAAAATAGCTGCTTACCTATAAAAGTTAAATTTACTCTTTTATCCATTCACATGAATTACTTGAGTCATGTCAATTTGTTTCTCATGTTTCCAGTGCAGTACCACAAATAAACTCTTATTTTTTCTCCTGATTTAACATTTAGATTTGAATGTTTTATATTCATTTCTTAATATGGCATTAAATGAAATGCAGAAATACTGGTAACTAAAAACAGTTGTCCTTCTGATGTACAGAAGGTGAAGGATTCAAAACATGAGGCTGCTGCTTTGGACCCATTAAATGTTCAACATTCAATAGCTGTTTAATCTCACCAATGTAGCTAGTTAATGACTAGTTCTTCCTAGACTAGCTTTCCAAAGGTTAATTACAACATTTTTTTGTGGTCTTCTGTACTATGGTTCTCCCTAATATGACAGCCAATCAAATAGTGTCCAGTTAAGGCAACAAACAGACACGTTAAATATTTTCAAAAAAAGTGCAAACATGTTTTACACATTTAAAAAATAACGATATTAAAATATACTAAATAAATATATAATCACATGCCCTAACTTTCCATTTTTTAGATCGCATATTCACATAAAAGCACTAGTTTGTACAGTGAGTTGATCTCTCACTTTGCAACTCCTGTATTTTCTACTAATTGTTTTCATTTATTTATTTTTTCCCTTGCATTTATCCTAATGTTTCTCGGTTTGCATGGGACGTTTTAAAAGTTCACAATACTTTTACTTCAGCCTGTTCTCAACTGATACTTAGAATGTAGATTATATTTGCTCGACATTATCATATTTGCCAGTGGTGATATGAGGTAGCATTGTCTCAATAACAAACTGAAAGCTTAAAGGAGATGCTGTGGGAGAACAAACGTACTTTGTTATAAACTGGCAACATGCAGCTAAGGTAATATATAGTATGTGTTACATATTTTATTTCAAATCATCAGATAACATTGTCTCTGCTATCTCACATGTAAATGATAAAACGATAAAATGACAAAAAATATATAGCTAAGATGTCTGCCTAAATTAAAAATACATGTAGACATTAATGGAAATTACATTTTCTGAATCATAATTAAAATACATATATATATAATTTTATTTCCAATGACATTCCCAAGATATTATGTGATATTCAGTCAAGTATTTTAATATTCAGTGAACAAGTGCAAACACCAACAATACCTCTTGAACAACCTGCTAGATGTTATTCGTCACTTAAGAATACTATCCTTTCTGTTGTATTGGTACTCAGCTAAGTTACACAGATCCATAGGAGCTTCCAGAGAATATATAAATTATTAAATCAGAAAATAATCTAGATTTCCCTAGGTTTATGTTAAAACCCATAACTTTGCAATTATGGTTATTGCAACTTGAATGATATGTGAATAACAAAAGAAAATACCATCTGCTATTCACATTATTAAATTAACTCTAAAGAAACGTGTATTTTAAAATTAACTCCCAGATAAAACTAACAGGTTATAGTAACCTTGACAATTATTAATACTTGATTTTAAAATGTATCAAAAAACATAATTGATATATGATTCATTTTTAAACGTGCATGCTGCAAATTTGGCAAACCTAACGCTTTGGTGCATAAAGGAAACAAAACGTCATCCATTCAAATTCTAGAACAAAAATAAATCATTTATTACCATATTTCTACGGAATAAGGTAGAAACCATTCCATATCTCTATGGAATAAGGTAGACAAGAATAATGAATTTCAGAGATATGTTCAATTTTTTTCATGAAGTACTAATAAGTTTAAAGAACATAAACTCCAACCAAATTACGTTGATTATAGAACTTACTGGTTGATAGTTCCTATTAGGTTAATTTCCCTATCTTTCCTCTTTCCTTTTACTCATATGAACCTTTGTTTTCCTTTCAGATTTAATTCATGACTGACACAAACATTGACTATAATCCAAATAATTTTTTTCCACTTTGCAAATTGAACTGTTTAAACTTATTGTTCAGTGAGCACAAATAAAAATAAAATCTTTATCTCAGTGCTTTATCTGTAGGAAAACAACAGAATATTCTGATCACCATAAGTCATAGTTCTTGGTTTCCAGCTTTAAGAACCAGAGTGTCAGAATAAACACAGAATCTCTGGTTTCAAAAATTACATAATTATTAAGAAATGCGGTGTCACTTACCAGTCAGTTTACATCTTAGCATCCATCTCCTAGCAAAATGGACACTGAAAAAATAAAAATATACAAACTGAGTATTTCATAGTAAACTTCAAAATCATATTATATTTTTATAGCTACATTAACTCCTCTATGATTTAAATATATGGCATTCAGACAAAATGCATTTCAATCACTCTAGGCAATTTGATTATTTGGAATGACCAAGATTCTCCATAGATAGGCAAATCTGTACAAACACATCTTCAAAATATATGACAAAGGAGTAAACTGTTTGAAGGCATCAACCAGGATTAAAGTGCATTAAAGAGAAAAAATAGTTCTAGTTAGAGTCTCTGACTACTTAATTGTCTACTCAGATGTGATAAAAGTCTATTGTAGCCTTATGTCATGACAGGAGGATTGACACACTTCTCTCTAAAGGGGCAGATAGCAAATGTATTAGACATTACAGGCATGCAGTCTCTTTCCCAAGTACTGAACTATGGTTGTATGTAAGTAAATGGGTGTGTCTGTGTTCCAATTAAACATTGCTGACAAAAATAGAAAGCTCACTAGGATTTGGCTTCAGGCCAGTTTGCTGACTCCCAGCAAAACACATTGAGAATTTCAACTCAAAAATATCAGTCTTAATACTTGGTGGACAATAAAGTATAGAGAATCACAGGAACTGAATTATTAGAGCCCTTAGCTTCAGAATAATCTATGTGATTTAAAATATCCTAAAAATCCTGTAGAGTTCTCAGCCCAGAATGATGACATATGAGATGGCGAATAATTATTTATAAACCTTAAAAACATAAAGTACCTATGAGATATGTACCTAAAGGAAAAGATGAGACATTCTACAGTTAGAGAGTTACACTGTGGTTATGGAGGCGATTACTCTATTTACAATAACTTAAAGTGACATATGTTCATGAATATTCTATTCTTATTATTTGTAGATTTGATATTTGTAAACTTCAGATTGGCTAAAATTTATTTGTAACCACCAAATCAATACTTGTGGCACTTTTGAGGTCATTTGTGCGTACATGCAGAATGGAAAAAATTCTGAATTACCCAACAATGTATCTTCCCTGAGGCTGAACAAGGCAATGGTTGACCTTCTTGTTTCAGCTCTCATACTGTACACAAGTGCCCTTTTCATGGTCTATTTAGCATCACACTTTTCTCATTTTTTGTTTTTGTTGATGATTTTACTGTTAAAAGTGGCTCAGAAGTGCAGTGCCAAAATGCTTTATCCCACTCTGGGCACAGGGAGCCTGTGATGTGCCTTCTGGAGATAATGTGTGTGGTAGGTAAGCTTTGTTCAGGCACCAGGTATAGTGCTGGGTACCATAAGTGCAATGCCCATGAATCAACAATATATACTAATTAAGATATCCTTACACATAAAACAAAATTATGTATGTCAGTTGACAACAATGTTGTAATCTCGGGCTGGCAGGAACCTAGTCCTGTATTTCCCACAGGAGCAATGGTCCAGTATGTGCTAATTCATGGTGACTTCATAGAACATAACTACTACAAATAGATTTGACTGTGGATATGTGTATGTGTGTATGTACATCTATAAATGTGTGTATATATCATATATCTCCCTTAGAATAGTATGTTAACTACATTCCCTAATAGTCCCCAATTATCAATAAATTATTTGAAAAAGCCACCGCTTTTTCTAATGAAAGACTTCTATAGATGATGGATCTTTTATAAGATGATGATGGACAATGTTCTTAACTGTATTATTCCTTCACAATCACTAGAAAGTGCTGGATATTTCAGGTATTTTTAAAAGATATTTCTTCTATTATAACATTTAAATGAATTGGACTGATACCATGAAATTCAGTGTGATAAAAAAGCTGAATGAATAACTTACTTATAAAGTTATTTATTCCAAACTTGTTTATAAAGCTACCTTTTATAAATAACAGTTATAAATCAGCAAAATGCCTCTTTAAAATGAGGATTATGGACGGGTTTAATGTTTAGTGTGAGGAGCAACTGTTTATACCTAAAATGCCACTTCCTCACTAAATACCTCTTCGTTTTTTTGAACTCACAATACCTATACCTCATTACTGCAGACTCCATTGTAATAATCGTTTTACCTTTCCTTGGCTTTGACCTCTTCTTCACCCCTACTCTGGTGTCTGACGCATTAGCAATTCTCAGTGCTCTTAGTGAACTACAATTATGGAATAGTTAGGCGTCACCACATCACAGTGCAGCTTCACGGGCACTTTATGTAGACATATATATGTACACATAATTCATAATATTTAAAATGCAATATTTATCTCAGTATAAACCACCTCACACCAATTAGTTTAACTCATACTCCCTGGGGATTTCTTTTTAAAATTTCAAATCTTCACCTCAGTCTAAGCCTAGCCTAGAATTGTAGACAAAGTGTTGACTTTGGTTAAATAGCAATTCTGGCTCTGCTACTTACTAATTGCATAACATCCAAAATGTTACACAACTTTTCTAATTTTCAGTTTCTTTATATTTTAAGCGTGTGTAGAATAACACCCCTCTTGAGATAGTTATGAGGAGTGTACCAGATCTTATATGTTAAAATGCCTGACATGTAGGATACACTTTGCACCTGTAAGTTTTCTTTCTTCTAAGGTTTTACTTATGTGCATATCTTGAAATAGTTCAACAATAAATTTGCGTGTTGTTTTTAATTTTCAGAAGTGTAGGAATCTGGATGCAGCTGGAAGGCTGTGAGTTATCAAAAAAAAGCCTCTGCTATCGGCAATAATTTTTAATGTTAATTAACTCCATCTGGAAGGAAAAGCAGGTGTTGAAATTGATCACTTAAGTACGGAAAGCAAGGCTGTTTACTAAACTCTCCTTAAATTAATTTGGCTGAACTTGTGGTTAAATTGCTTTCAAGTCACTTTTCTATAAATGTCTTATACCAAATGCTGAAATTGGAAAAAAGACATAGACCAAGCAGATTTTAATGAAATGTAACAAATTGGACTGAAAGGTCACCTAAAAATAAAAATTACATTTTAAAAATGAAAAAATGCAATAGTTTTGCTTCAACAGCAGATGGAATTTGAACAAAAATCTAGGGAATTTCCACATGTGGGCCACAAATCATTTGTATCAGATTAATGTGGTTTGTCCAAGAAAAGTTAAGTTTTGGGCTCTTGGCCAAACCTATTGAGTCCTATTTGCCGCCTAGAAATCAGCATTTTAACCACCACCCTGGCGATTTTTATTCTTATTGAAACATAATCCTTGTTCTAAGGACAGAGAAACATCAAATCACACTAATAGTGACACAGGGCCCTGGATCTATGACAAATAAAAATAGTAGTATTCTGAGAAGGTAAAATATAACAGAGAAACTTAGAAAATATCACTAAGAATAGGCATGCCCAAGTTAAAACTATACACACACACACACACACACACACATATACCATCTAATAAAATATTGACATAGTGGTAGCATTCATTTAATTGTTTTGCCTTCTGCCATTCCCTAACTCAACAACAGAAAGTCCAGGTCCCTTAAACTTTTTTTTGAAATCTCTCCATAGTCTCAAATCTCTCCATAGTCTGAGTTGATTGTCCATTCCATGTCCAGACCATGGTTTGAAAGCAGGAACCTCAGCATCATCCAGACTACCAGAATCAGAAACTCTGGGGGTGGAGCAAAGTGATCTGTGGTGTAGCAGTGCCTCCAGGTGATTGTGATGCACCCAAAAGCTTGAGAAGTATTGTGCATTCATCATGGCTCAACACAGTTTAGTCAACTGCTGTGAACAAGGCATGAGGATGAGACTGTAATGTAGGAAATATCATAATTGGGTTTCTTGTTTCCCTGTCAAATAGAAAAAGAGATTGCCAGAGCCTGCTAGTGTCTCCAACCATGAAATAAGCAACACTTATTGAATATTTACTACATGTCAGTGCTCTTCTGAGTGTTTTACATGTATTGCCCAATTAATCCGCATACAACATAATATGGGTTTAAATATTATTATCATTTCACATAATGAAACTGAGGCACAGAGAAATAAAGTGACAACCCCAAAGCTACACAACTGCTAAGGAATAGTACCAAGAATTGAACTGGGATGGTCTGGCTCTAGAGCAAATGATTTTTATCACTCTTAGGAAATGTCATCAACTCTCAAACACCACCTGAAGAATTCTTACCCTTAATTAAGACAGACAATAATCAATTTTAGGAAATGAGTAGGATTGATTAACTCAGAATATTTCCAAGATTATGTCGATGACTTTTTCCAACATTTCTCCTTCTTTTGACCCCTTAAAGTGTGACTATCTTAGGCTTCTATTCAAACATCACTTTACTAGAAAAGCCTTTGGTTATGTGAACATGAAGCAAAACATAGTGTATCAGAGCCTAGGTTTTCTTATCTATAGACAGAAGATAACAGTAATATTATTTAACCATATGGAAATCATATGAAATAAAGCAATATATGTGAAAGTACATTTTTAAGTTTTAGAACATTAATTATATGGCTGTAATGTGGTGTTACAGTATTTTTTATATACAGGAGTTTGAGGACCTATTGATTAGACAGTGTCTACTTTAACTGATCTTTTATACCATATTTAGCACTATTTTTATAAACTATTTTCATGAAGTGCTTTTGTGTTAGCAATTCATTTATCAAACCCCAACTATCACCCTCCACTCCACAGTAAAATATTATTTTTTCAAACTTTCTTGACCAAAAAATTATCCTGAGGTGCTTTTAAGAAAGCTATATTCTGTACTGTCTTTCTGTAAATTCTAATTATTTGGGGCTAGGGTGGGACCTAAATATAGTATCTATATATTTTAAGAAAGATACCAAGTGATTATTATGATGAACTGAGTGTGGAAAATACTACGGTAAACTCTAAAATTATTTTAGATATTTAAAAATACAAAAAAAAAATCCTTACACTCTAGTAGTAGCATAAAGTTTATTTTTGGATGTAAGTATGCTTATTTGTTTATATACAAATGAGGATATGCATAAGAATGTTCTGTTCT